TCAAAAGATTTATACAGTTTTCTACAAAGCTTGATGCCATTTAAACGAGTTTTAATTAGTTTTTTTTTTGTTGTCAATAATGATTAAAAAAAAACTCATTAAAGCAATAATTTTTTGGAGAGTGGGAAGCCGGGCAGATATTTAGTACTTGGTCCGATTTTGCTCTTGGCGGCCCTGCGGCATTACCATGTAATTGTCAATAAGTCCATAAATTTTCTAATTGAGCTTTTCTCTATGTCGCTAAAATCATGCCACATATTTTCACAGTGTTTTATTAATTTCCGTTAATTAAAAAACCATCGCCCCTTAGGGCCGCCACTAATTACTGCATAGCTTAACAATTCGCTAACATTTAGTGTTTACCTTTTGGAGCATAAACACAAGCGAGCATATAGCTAACCAATTCGCAGCTAAATTGAAAATGTTTGAAGTCAAACTGCATTCCAAGCCGCTCTTACAAAGTTTCAATTCAATCTTTTATTGGTGCAAGCTTTTGGGCGTCTATCCATATGACTTTCAGAAATTCTACTATGACGGTGTACTTCAAACCTCCACAGTGGGCAGTTTTGTGGTGATAATCGTAATGTGCTTTGTTTTTATGCTCTACAATTTGATGCTGTTCACTTTTGCCGGAAATGATGTCGTTCCGAAGTATAGTAAGTGCACGTAGAAAATACAACAAATAAACTTTTTCTTACGGTTTAAATTAACTACTATCTGACTTACCTCTAGATCATCTAAATCTCATAGTCCTTATTGCACTTACTTATATTTCACCCGTAATGATGATGGTCGATCAAATAACCGCTATACGTAATCAGAATGCACTCCCTGCACTCTTCGAACGAATTGAATATTTAGATGAAGGACTGCGACAGCTGGGTATTTCGGTCGATAATAAGCATGTGCAGCGACGCATACGGCTGATGATCGCAGTGACTGTATTGTTGGAGTGCTGCATATTCGCCGCTTACATATGGTTGCAGGTTGACGTATTGCGATGGACGTTGGTTCTGTGGATCTTTGCCTCCACACCGACCTTCTACAATACCCTAGACAAGATTTGGTTTATGGGAATATTGTTGGGTCTGAGAGACCGTTTTGATGCTATTAATGAAACGTTCGATACAATCGCTGGAGAGCTTGAGAAAAATTGTATACAGAGTCGGAAGAAGCAGCGAAGTGGGGATGTTGCGCTGCAACCGTCGTTATCATTCGAAGCGGAAGATATTGGCCGTAAGTACTGATTGTGTTAACAAATCAAAACGTATGCATAACTAGTTAAGTTAGATGCAAAACTATTAGAAATAGGATCGATAACAATGGCGGTCGCCGTATGCGAGTGGTTACAGGCGCGCACTACCTCTCCGTAGGTCCAGAGTTCGATGCCTCGTCCGAAGAATATCGGAAAAAAAACATTATTTCTAATAGCGGTCGCCGCTAGGCAGGCACTGGCAAACCTCCGGGTGTATTTGGGCTATGAAAAAAAGGCTTGTGGTTAAAATCATTTGCGTTCGGGGGCTCCCCTTTGTGTGATAACATTAAGGCGCACACCGCAAATCGGAAGTGAAGCTTTGCCAACCACGAACAACCGGTAGGATGCGTTTTGGAGCAACGTGAGCCATTTGGGGCCGATATAAGGAGCTGAAGAGGGAGGCTGGACGTATTTGCCGCAAGAACAAAAGGTAATCGATTGGAACATACCTGACATGGCGACATAGTGACGGATGTCAAGAACGTACATAAATTATGGAGGAAACACTTTTGCAAATTATTGCATAGCGGCAGCACTGAAAGTAGTAGAGAAGACGAACTCGAGCCGAGCAGTCGATGATGATGGAGTTGATGTATAAAAAGCGATTCTGCGGCTGAAAAACCACAAAGCTCGAGCGTATTGTATGAAAGACTGAAGCCCACGGTCAACGACCCACCATAGCCCACGCATTCACAATACGGCAAATCTTGGAAAATACCCGCGAGAAAAAGATCGATACTCACCACCTATTTGTCGACTTCAAAGCCGCTTTCGACGGCACTAATTAAAAGCCGCGGTGTCTGAACTTTGCTATCTCGCAAAACTAACACGTCACGAAGCGGTGTTGCTTCGTCAGAATTGGGAATACGGTTGCCAGAAGTACTGATTTGGGAAGTACAATACTGAATTTTCACTCGCTTTACTGAAAATTAAGAAGCATCCTTCCTTCCTCCAGCCTTCAGCAAAGAGTTCAAGTTTCATAGAAAATTGCTATATAATTTGTATCACAATTACCTATTACTTAAGTAAATAATAACTGGTGAAATTCTTAGCCTCTTTGAATAAATTTTTTTTTTTTTTAATTTAAAAAAAGAATGAAAAAACCAAAAACCGGTTTTAAACGAGCCACATAGAAAATTATGAAAAAAAATCATTATTATTTTATTATTTTTAATTAATTACTAAACTACTAAAAATAAGGTATGTAGTTAAAACAAAAAAATTAAACGACAATATCAAAAAATGCAATTATGCAACAGAAAAATGTTTTGTTTTTATTATTTTTAATTAATTTGTAAGCCGCTTTCCAAGTACTTAAAATTGTTAAAAAAAATATAGTTTAAACAAAAAGAATTATATAACAAAATCAAAAATGGTGTTAGTTCATAAATCGAGGCAAATGGGAAATTATGCAACGGCAAAATGATTTGTTTTTATTATTTTTAACTAATTTTTTAGCCGCTCTCCAAATCCCTAAAATTATTTTAAAAATAAGGTAGTTTAAACCAAAAAAATTAAATGGTTTTATTTCACAAAAAAAGCCAAACGGCAAATTATGCAACACAAAAATTAATTGTTTTACTATTTTTGTCCAATTTTTAAACCGCTTTCCAAGTCCCTAAGTTTTTTTTTTAACAAGGCGTTTTAAACAAAAAAACAATCAAACAAGTTCAATTTTTTTAATTTAACCATGGTGAGCGGTTTTGCTTTTTTGTGTTATTATTATTCTTCTCTTTTAAAAATTTTTGAACATTGAACATTGAAAATTGCCAAAAAAATTTAATTTTTTCTTAATAAAAAAAAAAAATATTTTTTTTTTTCAAAAGTAAACTTGCTCATCTTGGAATGGCACAAAACGGCAAATTTGGCTATAAAGCCTAGTCTTTTATCTTCGAGTTGGAGGGGTGCTTCGCTAACTTTATACACATTACCTTTGCTGTGCATCCACGATGTGGCTACAAGCAACTGTTCATTAGACCCCTTTCAGACACGTCAAGTCTTGCTCTCAAGTCCGCTCGGTTCGTAAGGACTATTTATGTTTACATTTTCCTATATCTATCTCGACTCGTTTTGGCTGTTACAAACAACCGTTATGCGAACAAAGTTGGAACACCAGGGGTATAAAAATAAATATAAAGCAATTGTTCGTGTATTGATGAAGTGTTCTATATATTATTTATAAGTATTTTTCAAGTGGATTGATTCTGTAAACTTATGAATAATTTTACGAATCCGTTCAAATACTTAGAATATATGGATATGCGGATAACTTACTGAGCGCATATTAAACGAATATCCGGTTATCCAATTAACAAAATAAACTTACGTATATTAGAATATATTATGTTGCTTTAAATTGGTTCACATCCATACTTAGATATTTGGATAAATATATTGATGAGAATATCTGTATCGATAAACGTAATTTTTTATCGTCAATTTTATGTCGAGAAAAATATTTGCTAATATAATCGATAAATTTGACGATAAGCATAACGATCATTTCATTTCTCCCATCCCTTAGATATCAAATTGGAAAATCTTGTGCGCAATGCCTTCGGTGAATTAATACGCCACCGTGAACCATTCAAACGCTCTGCTCCAAAAATGCGCTCCGATGCTGCGCTAGGTAATTTCGATGTTTTGCAGGAACGTTTCACCAGCCTGTGTCAACTACACGAAAGCACCTGTAGGATTGCCAAATTACTCAACGAGCTATGGC